AGATTTCATCAGTTTGCACCCACACAGAAACACAAAGTGTAAACTACTGTTTCAGTACTAGTTATAGCATTACTTCACATTGGACAACACATTAAGGACAGATCCCACATGAGGAGTAAGTACACAGTGACTCCTGTTGTTGACTTAACAATTTGACACTCTTGTTTATGGCATCAGTAATCTCCCTAGGCTCTAGTCATGAGTTGCCAAGGCTATGGAAGCCTTTTGAGTTTGCCGACTTCGATCTTATTCCAACAGGGTCTTAGTCAAAGTGGAAGTTCTCTCCTCCCTTCAGAGAAAGGTACCTCCTTCTTTGATGGCCCCGTTCTTTCCACTGGGATCTCACTCGCAGAGATCTTTCATTTAGTTTTTGTTTGTTTGTTTGTTTGTTTGTTTTTGCCAGAGTGTCTTGGCTTTCCATGCCTAAAATACTCTCATGGGCTCTTCAGCCAGATCCGACTGCCTAAGGGCTGATTCTGAGGCCAGAGTGCTATTTAGGACATCTGCTATTCTATGAGTCTCCTGTGTATCCCACTTCCCATACTGGATCGTTCTCTCCCTTTTTGATTCTATCAGTTAGTATTAGCAGACACTAGTCTTGTTTGTGTGATCCCATTGACTCTTAGACCTATCAGTGTGATCAATTGTGAATGGAAATCGATCACTTGGACTAGTGAGATGGCATTGGTACATGCCACCTTGATGGGATTGTATTGGAATCCCCTGGCACATTTCTAACTCCACCATTTGGGGCAATAGTTACAGAATATTTCAATCTCATGTCTACACATATTTTAAGTCATTCTAATTTTAGGATACCACTAACTGCTGTAATAAATAAATCTACATTTTTTGTTGGCTTAACATGATAAATTTTTACTTATGTTAGTGCAATGCTAGTCCTCCTAAATAACCATTCCCTTGTTCTTTCTTGTGGCTCCACAATCCCTGAATGTGGTTGACACATGGAGTAAAATGAATTGGAAAAAAAAAAAACACTTGTTTCTCATGTAAATATATGCCTTTTTTTTTTTCAATTTTACGGTGCATGTTACATTAGTCACCTGCTACTTAATTATGGCACAATAGGAAATAACCTTGAAGTATCAGTGACTTAATACCAACAAAAACTTATTTTTTATGTGTACTCTTAGACACTTGGGTTGTCTGTGGTTCTATGACATGTCACCTGCATTCTGATATCTGGAGTTAAGGAACATTGTCTGTCTGGGACATAATTAGTCTCATGGCTGACAAAAAAATGTTAAGTGGCACATATTTGTATTTGATTAAAGTAAGTTAAATAGAAAAGCCTAATATCAGTAGGATTAAGGATTCCTGCCTTTTATGGTAAGGGTCATTGTAAATTACATAGCCGAACCTGACATGCATAGCACAGGAATTTATAATCCTTCCACTTGAAGATACATTTGATATGTTTAATAATACAGTGTAACCTACATGTTAGATTTTAAAAATTGGGATATTTCTTAGAATTCACAATGAATTACTATAAACAGAACTATTTTAGAGATACAAAAATTAATTGTATATCTTACACATCTGACAATTGATAACACATTGAATTTTCATTTAGTGAGCTTCAACTCTAAATGAACCCATCTAATTCAGTTACTGATTTTCAAGTGTATGTATAATTTCATATTAAAGAGTAATAGAGATCTAAAAGAGTGAAGAGTTGATTCCTTGCCTCTGATCTAAGTCTGGATCAGTGTGCTTGTTCTCTTCAGTCTGTAGTTAGGATATATAGATATAAAAACACCAGAAAAAACATGAGAGAAATTTGCAAAGAGGAAAAAGCAAACAAAGAATCAACGGAATAGAATTTAAATCAGAAAAAAGCCATGCGTAGCTAAGAATAGATGACCAATCAATGTAGGAAAAAAATATTTAATAAATAATGTTTGCAAAACTTAGTCACTATATGGAAAGAAATTAAGTTGAGTTCCCATCCTACACTGAATGAAAAATGGACTTCAGGCAAAGTAAACAACTAACTAGAAAAGCTAACACCAATTTAAAAATATATAAATAAACAAGATTCAGAAATATGAAACATAATGCAAAAAGACTACTGTACATGACTATTTCAGGATATAGGATTTCTTGTCAATGAATCATGTCAAAAATAATTATACAACTGGTCAATCGCATATAGAGAAAGAGAAAGTCAAATTCTCCCTATTTGTAGATGACATGATTCTATATATAGAGTAGCCAAAAGACTCCACTAAGAGATATTGAACCTCATAAAAGAATTTAGTAGGGTGGCAGGATATAACATTAACATACAAAAACCAACAGCCTTTGTATAAACAGACAATAATGTAGCTGAACTACAACTTGTAAGATCAATCCCATTCACAATAGCTACAAAAAAATTAAATACTTTGGAATAAATTAAACAAGGGTGTTATTGAAGAATAAAATAGAAGACAGCAAAAATGGAAAAAATATTCCATGTTCATGGATTAGAAAAATGAATAACATGAAAATTTTCATACTACTGAAAGAATTTACAGTTGCAGTGTGATCCCAGTAAAAATACCAAGGACATTCTTCTCAGTTATAGGAAATTATTAAAATTCGTATGGAAACAGAGGAGACCTCAAATAGCTAAAGCAATATTCAACAGCAAAAATAAAGCCAGAGGCATCACAATACCGATTTCAAGACATACTACAGAGCAGTTATAATCAAAACAGCCTCATAGTGGCAAAAAACAAAAAAGAAATGTAGACCAATGTAAAACAGAATAGAAACTCCAGAAAACAACCTATGCATCTACAACCAACTTATCTTTGACAACTGAGCTAAAATCAATCCCTGGAGCAAGAACAGTCTCTTCAACAAATGGTGCTGAGAAAACTGGATCTTCACATGCAGAAGTATGAAAGAAGACCTCCACCTTACACCTTACACAAAAATCCACTCAAAATGTATCAAAGACCTAAATCTATGACTTGATACCATCAAATTACTAGAGAACATTGGGGAAACACTAGAAGACATTGGCCTAGGCAAAGACTTCTTGGAAAAGACCTTAGAAGCACAGGCAATCATAGCCAAAATTGACAAATGGGATTACATCAAGCTGAGAAGCTTCTGCACTGCAAAGGAAATACTCGGCAAAATAAGAGGCAACTGAAAGAATGGGAGAAAATATTTGCAAACTATGCAACTGATAAATAATTAATATCCAGAATCTATAAAGAGCTCAAAGAACTCAACAACAACAACATAAACAACCAGTTAAGAAATGGACAAAGGACTTGTGCAGGATTTTTCAAGAGCAGAAATTCAATGGCCAATAGACACATGCTTAGGATTACTAGCTGTCAGGGAAATTCAAATCAAAACCACACTGAGGTTTAACCTCACCCAGTTAGAATGGCTATCATATATAAACCAACAAACAACAAATGCAGGTCAGAATGTATGGAAATATGTACCCTAATTCAGTGTTGGTGGGAATGCAAATTGTTGCAGCCGCTGTGGGAGACAATATGGAGATACCTCAGAATTTTAACTGTAGACCTACCATATGGCCCAATCATTCCACTCCTGGGAATTTACCCAAACATAAGGAAAATAGCATATGAATGAATTATATCTACCCTCCATGTTTATTTCAGCTCAATTCATAAGAGCCAAGATATGGAATCAACCCAGATGTCCATCAACTGAAGACTGGATGAAGAAATTATGTTATATACACAATAGTATACTACACAGTGGTAAAAAAGAAATGAAATCCTGTCTTTTGCAACAAGATGGACACAACTGGAAGCCATTATACTTAGTGAAATAAGCCAGCTCCCAGAAGACAAATACCATATGTATTCTCTTATCTGTGATAACTAATAGAGTACCTAAAAGTAATCTGTGGATGTGAAATTAACACTTTGAGGTATGATGATTTTGAACAGCCCTTGTCTCAACTGTTGAAGGATGGTGGTTTGTTATTTTTTTCTTTTTTCATACTATTTGTTAAAATCTTTACTTAGTGTAAGGTTAATTTTGGAGTATAAAGTTAACTGAAAATAGATCTTTGTAAAAAATAAGAATAGGAATAGGAGAGGGAGGAGGAAGAAGGGTTGGAGTGTAGATGGGAGAGAGGAGTGAGTATAATCACTGTTTCTAAATTTGTATATGTGAATTGGGTTGTTTGTATTCCTTAAATAAAATTCTTTGAAAAAGATATGAATGAAAGCTGGAAGCACAAAAATAGAAGAAATGGTAATTCTCTTCCCCCTAGGCTTTAAATTGTCATATGATCAAAATTTGTGTGTGCTAAAAAAAAAAAAGGCAGAGTCACAGAAACATACCTGGGGGCCGGGGTGTGGAAGAAGCAGAGAAAGCTTCCATTCACTGGTCATGCCCCAGATGTTCACAACATCCAAAGCCATGCCAGTCTGAAACCAGGAGTCCTGAACTTTATCTTTACCTCCCCTGTGAGCAGCAGGAGTCCATGCTCTTGAGCCATCATTCCCTGCCTACCAGGGTGCACTAGTAAAAAGCGGGACAGGAAACAGAGTAGCTGGGTCTCAAACCAACATCCCAGTATAGGATGCAGGCATACCAAGCAACAGCCTAACTGTTGTACCACTCGCCTGCCCCAGAAATAATTTCTTAAGCAAACATATCTACATCAAGTAGATAAGCTGCAGATTTTTAAAAATATAATACCCAGTAGATAATCAGCTTCACAAGGACAAAAACTATGCTTGGAACTGAAACTGGCTGCCTCCCAACATAGTGCCCCTCATATATGAGTGTATAAAGCACTCATACATATGTATTGATTGATAACAAATTAATTATAAAATGGAGTCATAGACTGTGTACTTACACTAGGAGGAATTTTACTCCAAGATAAAGTTGAGGATGAGTTAGAAACATAGTGATCACAGGGAGTTTAAGACCAAGATTCTATAATAGCAGTTCGATGCATGATTATTTTTATTTTTTTCCCAAAGGGACCTGTCGGTTTACCTGGGGAAGTTGGTACAACTGGAAGCATTGGTGAAAAGGTAAATTCTTTCATTCTTTGTTTTATGATAAGAATTTTAAGCTGAATTCAAAGGAGAGTCTCCCATGTGATATTTTATGTTAATTAGAAGTCATTGATAACTTTAACATATTACCTTACTTAATCCCTTAAATATAGCTAATATCATATATGATTCCAACTTTAAAGGGTCAGATACTCTTTTGATTATAAATATGTGCTATTGAGGGATAGAACTGTGTTAATTTATGACTAGCAAATATTATTTACATCTAATTTATCAGATCATGCCACCTATAGGAAGCAGTTTTGAAAAAGAAGAAAAAGTTATCATTTTACCTTTCTTTCACCCTGTCTCATACTCATGTACTTACTCCGATTCCCATTCTTAATGATTCCTTCATCTAGAATATTCTCACCCCTTTCATTGTGCTCTAAAAACTAAACTGCTAGACTCAGCTGAATTTCAACGCCTCCGTGAATTTTCCCAGACTACTCTAATTCTTCCCAGTTTCTTCCCTTCTTCGACTTAGATGAAATACCACACAGTTTAAAATACAATTGTCCCCGAGTTGTTTCATCTCTTTTTTGTAATAATAATAATTCATACTTGCCAAGAGGCAAACATTTACCAAGCTCTGTGATTTTTTTTTATTATTATTTGACAGGTAGAGCTATAGACACAGAGAGACAGAGGGAAAGGTCTTCGTTCCGTTTCGTTGGTTCACTCCCCAAATGGCCGCTATGGCCGGTGCTGGACCTATCTGAGGCCAGAAGCCAGGTGCTTCTTCCTGCTCTCCCATGTGGGTACAGGGGCCCAAGCACTTGGGCCATCCTCCACTGCCCTCCTAAGCCCCAGCAGAGAGCTGGAATGGAAGAAGAGCAACCGAGACTAGAACCCTGCACCCATATGGGATGCTGGCGCTGCAGGTGGAGGATTAACCAAGTGAGCCACAGCGCCGGCCCCAGCTCTGTGATTTACTTGCATTGTCTTATTTAATCATTATACAACTTTGTGAGACTGCTACTCTCTTTTTTAAAGATTTATTTATTTATTTAAAAGTTAGAGTTGCAGAGAGAGAGGGAGAGGCAGAGAGATTCCCCTCATTAACTGGTTCAACTCCCCAGATAGTCACAACTGCCAGCTCTGTGCCAGGTCAAAGCCAGAAGCTGGCAGCCTCAGCTGGGTTCCCCATGTGGGTATCAAGGGCCCAAACACTTGGACCATGCTCTACTAAGGTTCTCAGGCCATTAACAAGGAGCTGAATCAGATGCCAGCATCGCAGGTGGCAGCTTTACCCACTATGCCACAATGCTGGCCCCATTTCGACTCTTTTCATTCATGTCTGCAATTATTTGATGAGATCTAAGTTGTGTTTTCAATATTTCTTCTCTCACTTTGTACTTTAAAAGTGCAAAGTATAAACTTGCCTTTTTATTAACAATATAATAAGGTATAATATGAATTAAGTTAAAAATAGATATGTAATTTTTCATTCTGATTCATTGCTTCTATGCTAAGTTAAATCTTCTACATTGAGATTTTAACAATCTTGAAAAATTTTAATGTGAGTCAGTGTAATCCTTTTTAATTTCGATGACAGATTTGACTATCGTGATCCTCCAGAATTATTTCTTAGACATTTAATCGTGGTACACAGTGGAGTAGTGCTGTGGTGTAGTGGGCTAAGCCTCCGCCTGCAGCACTGGCATCCCATATAGGTGCCAGTACATATACTGGTTACTCCTCCTCTGATCCAGCTCTCTACTTATGCCCTGGGGCCCCTGAACCCATGTTGGAGACCTGGAAGAAGCTTCTGGCTCCTAGTTTTGGCCTGGCCAGCCCCGGCCAGTATGGCTATTTGGAGAGTGAACCAGAGAATGGAAGACCTCTCTGTCTGTCTCTCCCCACCTCACCCCATGTAACTCTGCCTTTCAAGTAAATAAATAAATCATTTTTAAAATATACTTTTGATACTTTCACTTTTCTCTTATTCTGTATATCATAAAATTGTAAGAATTTTTACTCACAAAACTTTAGCAAATGACACAGGGTCAATTTTAAGTCCTTTTTATTCATGATTTTTATTTTCTTCATTTTAATAAGAGTTTTAATAATTTTCCCTCAAAAAACATCTAAGGAGCATTTTCATTGTATTGAAAGTTTAGTAATTTTAGGGTAAAAATATAAGATTTATAAATTTAAAAATTATTGGGATTAGGATGAGTTATGTGTGTAAGGTGTGATTCTAACTTACAACTTAACGACATGACTAACACAACTCAACATTATTCTTCCTTTGCTGTTTTCAAAGGGAGATCGTGGCAGTCCAGGCCCTCTGGGTCCCCAGGGAGAAAAGGGTGCTATGGTAAGAACTTGGTGATTGGAAAAAAATAATGTTCGCAAAAGCAATAATGAAGTTAACTTTCCAGAGGTAGAATTGCCTTGACTGGAATTTAAATAGGTGAAATATGCTATTTTGTAATAGGTATTCACTGAAATTTTCTTATAGAATGATTTATCTTCCAAGGTGCTATCTGGCATGAAAATTCTAAGAAACATGCAAATGAGATGCCTTAGTCAAATCATGCTCTAGTTTTAGGAGAAAAATTAAACTACCCTAAATTAGCAAAAATGGCTAAAGAAGAAAATGCCATTAAAAATCCTACTTTTTCTTCTATAGCTTATCATTTATGTGGCACATATCATCATTGCTGTTCTTCCACAGTTTGTGGACATGATCAAAGTTTTGAAACACAAGAGCTCAGTACCCAAAATTCATCATATTCTCTTGCATCTTAAGATAGATGGCAACTTTTATATCTGGTTTATCTTTTTTTTTTTTTTTTACTTTCTTAAATAATTTCTAAAAGTGACAGGAACTAGTATGAACATACCTACTAGAGAACCTTCCTTTCAGAAAATATGGTGGATCTCATGACACCTTATACTGTCTAAAACTTCATTTTATTTGCTATTCTTAGGTTTAATTTATGACCAAGAAAGCTCTGTAAGATTTATTTACTCATTTATTTTTAGTTATCTCCAAGTTTGTCAGCTAGGAAATTTAACATTTCATAACACTAATCAATTTGAGGAATTATTACCTCCTAAGACGTTTTCTGAAGCAGTGTTAAAAACATAAAATGTGCTGTCTTTATAAAATTTACCAGGCTTGATTGTTTGTAAACATTCATATTCCTTAACCACAAAATTTCCTGATCTTTCTGAAAAAAAATTTGATTTCAACGTCTGTCTAACCTACTACACATCCACATATAAGAAAGCAACCTACAGAAAGATCAAATGAATGTTCTCTTATCAATAGGCTGTAATATGTGATGTTAGCTAGCAATTTCCTTTTCCAGCAAAGCCCTTCTAATAAGTGAATATACAGATCCCTCAGAAACATAGCTTTTATTTCCATATTCTATATGTAGACCATTTCCTGGGGCCTTTTTGTAAGATAGGAAGATCTTATCAAATGATCCTTTTTATTATTTTTATAATGGACTAGTTTGTCTTCAGTGAAAATAATTAAATGCAATGGAGATTTTAAGTCTTTCATATTTTCCTTAAACTATAGGGATATCCAGGTCCTCCTGGGGTACCAGGACCAATGGGTACATTGGGATTACCTGTAAGTAATTATATGGTACTTTCTAGAATGTTTATTTTAATTTACATTTATCATTTTTGTTATGCTTTTTATTCTTTGCAAAGTAAGCCATATATAAGCTAATGGAGACTGCTTTTCTCTCAAACCATTCAAAATGTTCTGAGACATAGCACACTATCCTGAATGTCCTCACCCCTGCTACTATGCTTTGTGTCTTCCTTCATCACTCGATGTATGATCCTCTTGAAAACTACCTGGACAGTGAATATTAAAAAGTTGCCCTGCTTTGTCCAGAGTGTAAACATTTCCAAATAGGTGAATATTTCAAGATCAGAATATTGGTGGAGAGAGAATATGGCATTTGAAAATTAAAGCACATTTTTAAGGAAATGAATCAATTTTATTTTAAGAATTCTGCAAGCAAATGAGATGTGTAATAACAAAAATTATGACTACAATTCTGATAACATTCTTGTGAATTCCACCATTGATTTTTAAATTTGTAACTTGTAGGGTCTTGTAGGGGCAAGAGGATCACCTGGCAGTCAAGGTCCTAAAGGACAAAGGGTAAGTAGTTTAATGAAAAGTGTACACTAACCTAAAAAAAATTGTTGTAAAAAGTGAGGTGTTCAACTGAAATAGTACCATAACTTTTAGAATTATCCTTAGGAATTATCAGATTTTTCCTTTGTTTTCATTACATTAGATTAACTTCAACAATTAAAATATGACTAATAATAATTTCTAATAAAGCATACTTTTCTATTTTAATTTTTACATATATTGCTAATATATAAAATAATTTAATTTTTTAAATTTATTTATTCTAAAGGCAGAGAGACAGAGACAGAAAGAGTAAGCAAGATCTCCCACCTGCTGGCTCATTCCCCAAATTCCCTCAATACCAGGGCTGGACCAGTCTTAAGCCAGGAGTCAGGAGCCAAGAACTCAATTCACGTTTCCCACATGCATTGCAAAGACCCAATTTTATGAACCATCATCTGCTGCCTCCCAGTGGGTGCATTAGCAGAAAACTGGAATTAGAAGCAGAGCTAGGATTCAAACCCACGCACTCTAATGTGAAGAAGGCAGGTGCCCCAAGTGGCATCAAACACCTACTCCAAATTCTTCTTTCTTAATTCCAGTCACCAATTCCATCATGTCAGAAAACTGCAAATGTAAAGATCTCTGGCGGGCGCCACAGCTCACTAGGCTAATCCTCTGCCTGCAGCGCCATGGCGCACCCCGGGTTCTAGTCCCGATCGGGGCGCCGGATTCTGTCCTGGTTGCTGCTCTTCCAGTACAATTCTCTGCTGTGGCCCGGGAGTGCAGTGGAGGATGGCCCAGGTCCATGGGCCCTGCACCTGCATGGGAGACCAGGAGGAAGCACCTGGCTCCTGGCTTCGGATTGGTGCAGTACACTGGCGGCAGTGCACCAGCCATAGCGGCCATTTTGGGGGTGAACCAACTGAAAAAGGAAGACCTTTCTCTCTCTCTCTCTCTCTCTCTCTCTCTCACTGTCCACTCTGCCTGTCCAAAAAAAAAAAAAATGATCTTTAATTACTTTTCAGAGCAGACATATATCACAAAGAAACGTAACACATGACAAAATAAGAACATCAAGAAATGAAATGAAGATACACAAGATGAAGAAGAGTTTATTAATTTTAAGTCAGTTGTTATGACTTTCTACTAATTATGCAAATAGCATTAAGTGAAAAATCTCTTAACATCTTACATTGTCTCTTAAACATTTTGAATCCTTTTCTTAAAAAAAAAAAAAAAGCAAGAGACACTATTTATGGTGTGCCTGTTCACATAGCAGACACTTTTTCATGTTTTATCCATTTCATATTCACATTTGCCCTAAGAAAGGGTATTATATCTCAGTATTATAGTTGAAGAAACCAGGGCTCAGAGAGTTTAAGTACCTGTCTGGTCTATAGAAACAAAGAGAAAGGGTACAACCAGTACTGAAACTGTAGTTTGTGTGCCTGACTCCAAAGTCTATGCTTATTTGATACCACAGAGAATATTGGGAAATATTTTTCTTAATTAACTTGAATATGTGGATTTTCAGTATTCTGTTGACCTTACCTTGATATAAATTATAAATTTTAGTGCTAAAGGAGAAGATGTTTTTAGAATATTTAAATCTGTCCTCCTACAGAAGTTTCAACAACAAAAAAAAGACCCTGAAGTTTGCCAATTGGCAAATAGGAGAAGGGAAGGGTGTTAGGAATTCTCAGTTTGAAAAATGATTTTAACTTTATGTCCTGTGCTTCTGGTGAAGACTTAAGAAAGAGCAAATTTGTTTTTATTACTGTTTCTTTTCTGAAAAACTCTTTTCCTTCCTGTATTACAGGTTTACAGTCTATAAATAACACTGAGAGCATAAATGAGATTTAGGCCTTTGTAGCCTAAATGAGTTTTAAAATAAAACAAAAATGGTAGATGATCAGTATCCAACTGTCATTTCATGCTCTGAATCCTGCCAGCTTTCAATACTTGGTCAGGTTGAAGGTGTTTTTTTCAACTTTGTCTGAGTCATAATGGGAAAGTTCTACCAATTTTATGACAAGTGAAAAAAGAAGAAATATTTATGTGTACCATTTCTAATTATGTAATTTGGGTATCACTGACTATCTAGGCAGGAGCTAACTCAGTACATGCTGAACCATTTCTGCTGTCTCATAAGTCATATGGAAAGTTCATTTGTTCTGCAGCCTTCTAACCTCACCATGACCCCTGTGTAGATTATTACTCTTTGTTACGATTTGTTACTTTGTCCACAGCTCCCAGTTCCAAGATAATCTATTTTCCCCTCATTCTCCAGACATTTAATAGATTCCC